GCGGTTTTGAAATGTAAATTTTATAACTTATTCAACGAAACATAACTGTGTGCTACTCCATTTAGTTATAGTGAGCAGTGCATATTGCAAACGGCATTAGCCCTCCTGCAAGTGGAGATGAAGGAAAGTGGTATTAAAATCTGACTCCCCAAGCAAATCTGATCCCCCCTGCATCACGCAGCACATGCACTCGCAACAACTTACAGGTTTATCATGACACTTTTATCGATAATTTTTTTCCACAATTGACAGCCAGAACAAACAAAGATGCATCATCTCATTGACAAGCAGCACCTAATTATGTTCAAAAGAATTTAAAACGCCAAATGAGACGAATTTATACCCCATTTGGAAAGTAAAACATACTCTAATGTTATCTACAACAACAAGTGCAGTGCATGGGTGAGAGGGCGGTGTTTCGATGTGATCTGGTTTTGTTGTGGTTCTGTGACAGCTGGTGTTGGTTGCTGTATTATTAAAAGGTATGACAGTTGAAGTAACTAGATTAATTTCAATTTAAATAAATCAAAATTAAATAAAATATTAATCTTATATTTTGGGCGTTTTTTGTGCGTTTGGGCGGATTTTGGACGACTTTTGGCCTGGAAAACGTCAGCTAGATCTGGCAACACCAGGAGTCCATTCACATTCATGGAGGGCCACACCTCTGCACGGTTTAGCTCTAACACACTTAAGCTGCAGTCACACTAGAGTTTGTGTGTGCGAAATTCTGTCGCACGGCAATTCGAAAAGGGGCGGGATTAAATAAGATTAACTAGCGATTGCTCCATGTTTTAAATTTCTATCCAGAGAGGTCATGTTTTGATCCTCGATTGGTCTCAAGCAGTCAAGTGATGCGATTTCGCAGGTCAGAGTTTACCAAGCTTGAACTTTGCACTGCAGCATCCGGCGAAACTTAACGCATGACCTCGCATTTCCGGTCTGACGTATTCGCGTGCGTATTTATGGAAGTCTATGGGAGGAAAAGCCCAGTGAGACCGCATCTTTACCTGTTTCAAACAAGCCTGAAGGACTCAATTAGTTTGATCAGGTGTGTTTAATTAGAGTTGGAACTAAACTGCGCAGAGCTGCAGCCCTCCAGGAACTGAAATTGACATCTGTGCAAGAGTGTTAATTATGGTAATTAGATACAGATTAACCAAAAGGTCTACAAAAAGCAACAAAAACAGATGCAAAATACTATAAAACACTTTGACTTTAAATCCTAACTTAAATCTTAAGATTACGATTTCTCCCCATCTTCTCTTAGGTCCACAGAATTATCTCAGGTGGGGTAGCAGCACAGGAAGGCTCCATCTTCGAGGGTGCTCAAGTGCTGTCAATCAATGGCACTGCCCTCCAGAACTCTGCCCACTGGGAGGCTCTGCGTACACTGAGAAAAGCAAAAGGGCAGGGAATGGCAGTGGTTGTTCTTCAGAGTGGTAACAGCAGAAAAGATGTCACTGAAAAAGCAGGAATCACAGGTGGGTAGGATGACAAATGGATGGTATATACTGTACATTTATTAACTGGCCACTTTATTAGGTGTACCTCTTTGACTATACAGTAATCAAAGGCACATGGTTATAATCACTTTGAACATTTTGAATCATTTTTTCAACTGCATTCACTAAACTTAATTGCCCTACACAATCTCCAGATCTCAGTCATTTCAGGACTTGTCAGGATTTTGAAAGTCTAGTAATTCTTTAGATTTTTTTATTCACAACAAAACACAACTGAAGAGACTCATGCCATAGGTTTTAAGAAAAGCTGTGAAAACCTGATGGAACAGGGGACAAATCTTAAAGTCACTTGGACCAAAATCTCATTTAAATATTTCTTCTGAATCAATGTCATGATGAATTAAAACAAATCAGAATGTAAAAGGGGGTTTCAGCCCGATACCAGCAAGGTGTCATCAGTCATGACAACAACGTATGTAATTGCATTTGGAAATCAATATACGCTTGAAAAAATGTATCAATTTGTTTGAAAATTTTGATAGGCATTGATAGGGTTGCTTTATACTGTAAACAGATATGGTAAAAACATGACAAAAAAAGCAGAAGTAAGGTTCCTGCAATCCAGTGTTGATACTTTGTGTATTTGTGCCCCCTACAGGCAGGAGAGTCCGTGTGACTCTAAACAAGTCTAGCTCTGATCTTGGCTTTAGTCTTGAAGGAGGGGTGGGCTCTAGCTCAGGAGACAAACCCCTCACTATACAAAAAATCTTCCGTGGTAAGACCATTTTTTTATGTTTAAATCAATCCTATTAAACACAACTCAGTTTGCCAATGTTATTGCAATTTAGAAAATATAAATATTCTTATGAAGCATTATAAGCTGTGATCGACTTCATTTTTATTCTCTTACCTCACAAACTTCCCATTGTCTCGTTGACTGGAATATACTTCATTGTTGCAGCAAATGAGCTATGAGCTTTATTGTAAGGTCCTTAAATCACTTAAAATATGCTATTATCAGTGTTTTCATTTTTAGAGTTGTGTGAAGACTGAAGGTAAAAAAAAAAATATATCAAACTGTATTACAAAGTTGTCATGGGTAAATAAAAAAGAAAACAATATATATATATATATATATATATATATATATATATATATATATATATATATATATATATATATATATATATATATATATATATTGTAGAAATAAATAGAAAGAATTACATTAATCGTGTTAGGCTAATTAATGGATTATGTATACATACACACACACACACACAGTATATATATATATATATATATATATATATATATATATATATATATATATATATATATATATATATATATATATATATATATTACAGTTTATTATTAACTTATTATAATGAAAATAAACAATTCCATTTGCAGCACAATGGACATTTTAATAAATCTGATTCATTCTCAATATATATTTAAAATTTTGATTGCTTTTTATAAACTCAATAATCAAACAAACTAACGTTTACATTAAATTACAAATTTAATTCTTCCTCTCTTTTAAGACGACATGGTGGGCCAAATTAAAGGTTATCATGGGCCAACTTTAAACCGCGGCCCCTAGTTTGGACATGTCTGCTAGAAGGTGTACATTTGAATATATTTCCCCCTTAATCAAAGTTTAGGGATGATACTCTGTCTATACAACTTTAAAATGACTATGAGGATTCCCCCAAGGGTGTGTCAAAAGATGGTGTAACAAATCTAATCTCCTCATTCCAACCTCCATCCAATTAAATAAGCTACTTGTTTCCAGGTGGACCAATGAGTGAAGTGTTCCCAGGGGATGAACTGTTAGAGGTGCAGGGTCAGAGTTTGAAGGGTCTGATGCGTCTTGAAGCTTGGAACCTCATAAAGAAACTGCCCTCTGGTCCAGTGGATATCTTATTACACCGTCCTCATCAACCACATTGAAGACCTCTACTGTACTTCTAACACCTTCCCTTTTAAAGTGCTATGCATGTCATAATTTATTCTGTTACAGGTTCTAACATGTTGTGTTCTTGCAATTTTTTTCTGCCAATATGAAGTATCATAGTATTTTGAAGTGTTTTCAATCCTTTAAGATTTTAATTAATGCACTCCAAAAACGCAGGGTTGTCCCAAATTAATGTATTAAAAAAAAAAAAGAAACCGACCACTGTGTAAAAATGTAATTTAAAAAGTTATCCCAATGGTTGGGTTCGTCCACATTTTAACCAAATTTGATTGTAATAATCGAGTCATTTTAAGGCTGTACTGCCAAAATTAAAGACAAGAAAGCACTGAAGGCCAAACGGTCATACTTTTAAATAGGCCTTATTTTAAATAATGTTTACACACTTGTTATGCAACAATTTACATGATTTGTACAATCAGTCTGTATCAGAAACCATTATATATATATATTATTTTTTTAGTCCTTGTTTTACAATGTATGTACAGTAAATCTGTCTAATGTATGTTGTCTGTACATATCGGATCCATTCCAGAAAATTTTTAATATTAAAGACAAATACATAAGTGATAGCTTACAGAACATCCACTACTCCTATCGTCATATTTTTTGTGTTTTTTGTTTTAACATTTGCTTCTTTATCAATCAATATGAAAATCAATTGTATTGAGTAATTGTGGTTCTCCTGAAAGAACTGAATGCCCCAATCCACTCTAAACATTATTGCTCTGAGGTTTCTAGCCATCCCGAACATATCAGGTGTGTTTGCAGGTTCAGATATAGGTTTGAAGCTCAATCAGCACACACTATGGCCAAGACCTTGAAAATGTGGCTCTCTGGGCCCAAAATTGGTCACCTCATCTATAACTTGATCCCCTCAATCCTATATTTTTTTTGCTCCCTTAAATCAAACACACCTTATTCAGGTCATCACAGCATTAGTAAAGATTATAGGACCCGAAACAGGTGTGTAAGACAAAGAGAAACTTGGAAAATGTACACTTCTGTGAGGCTTCAGGATCATGGTTGAAAACTGCTGCTTTAGTCTCCAGCTCTCCATTGTTAATATCAATTACAACCAAACTGCAAAGGGTTAAAGCGTAATAATATACCCGTAAGAATATACTATTTCAATCATTGCTTTATTACATTTTAACATTTATTTTTGCATTGCTTTATTACACATGGTAGTATTAAATGTGATGCTGGCTTTTGGAACAAAATTTTGATTTACAGAAATTTGAGCTAGATAATTGTGGAATTACCTAATTTCAAAGTCGTGTAATGTTCAAATGTCCAAATGATTAGATTATCTGGAAGTACTGAAAAGCAAGATAAGTGTTTTAGGGCAGCGGATCATAGATCACTGATTTCTTCTCTTGCTCCTTTTTCTCTTTGTCCTACTGGATTATTAATGATTGATAAAGGGGTTGTGGTCTAGATCAGACTTGCTGTGATGTAGATGTTGACTGGCTGATGTAGGATGTTTGTACCCTGCGAGTACATTTAAAACAGGGTGTAAAGGTTAGCTGAGCTAATAGACACAGACTGAGGTCAGACCATCTCTAAACAACAGTACAGTAGCAAGTTGAGCTCTGCCTGCAAGTAAATATTAAAAATGAGTCAGATGAAGAAGATCATGAAGAGGATGAAGGTGAAAAATGAACTGGCACGACAGATTATGGGAGAGATCTTGGGCACTTTTGTTCTTCTGGTGAGTTTTTGCACAGTTTTCACTATTAAAAACTTTGAGAGCAGTTACTGATTTAAAGATCTGAAAAAGTTGTGTACAAATTTGTTTATCATTAACAAAATGTATTGAATGTTTTTTTTTTCATTATTTTTCATGTAAAACTCCTCACATTGAAAATATCACTAACTAATGTTATATAATAAAGTATAATGATTAATTAATAAATTACGTATTGTACAATAATATTTAATAACTTCTTAGATCAACTGTATAATTATAGCCTAGGTTAATGTAAAAAAAAAAAAAAAAAACATTTAATTGATGATTCATGATTGTGCCGAATATGCAAACAAATCTAAGATGCAAAACTATCTCTAAAAATTAACATGAAACTAATTAACCAAATGCTTTAAATGTTGTAAACTTGTAATCCTATTTGTTGCACCATTAGATAAGCTTTATTCACTGAATCTGCCAGACTGTAATGTTTTGAATATATATGCTGACAAACTAACTGTGTAGTTTGGTAGTAGCTTTTAAGGGACAGTCAAATAGATCATATAATGTTCCAGTGCAAGTGCAATTTTCCCTGTCATTAACAATAACAACATCACAAAATAATATCAAAATTACAGTCACACTTTATCAATAAATGCAAAGTAAACTTGTGTCAGTTACTTTAATAAACTGATACGTTCATTATGTTTTTCCTCCAAAAAAAAAAAAAAAAAAAAGTTTGCATGACACCAAGCAATACTGAAAAAAGTCAGTTTTGATATAACTGTATATAACAATTGATCTATGATCAATTATTCATAAGTTATTACACAACTACGTTAATTAGACATATTCATGTGCAGTTTTTTTCTGCTCCAGTTGTTTGGTTGTGCTGCAGCGGCTCAGGTGAAAACCAGCAGAGAAACAAAGGGGCAGTTTCTGTCTGGTAACATCGCCTTCTCGGTAGGTGTCATGTCTGCCATGTACCTCTGCAGGGCAGTATCAGGTAAAATTGTTATAGACAGCAGTTTTGGTAACACTTTACAATAACAGTACATGAATAATGATGTATTAATATGTAAACTGAACATTATAGTTTATTATGAATTAATGACTGTGATGCACTAATCATGAACTAACTTTACCTACGACATGATTCACATGAGTTCATACGTGAATGACGGCTACCTTAATTACTTGTTAGTACATGATTGTTTGTTACTTAATGCATTAATTACCACATTAGTTTATGCTTAATTAAACCATGATGAACTCATGATATGTTAATGTATAATTATGTTGTGACTTTACTTGGAGGGGCACATCATCATTAACCTATTCTTAACTACTCATGAACTCCGTATGCACGTCCAACTAGTGAGTTTACACTGAATAACAATAGATAAGTGTTCTGTCAACATCATCATGAACAGGAGTTCATGAGTAATTTAGGATGAGCTAATAGTGATGTGCTCTTTCAAGTAAAGTCATGACATAACTATACATTAACAGTTCATGAGTTCATGTTGGTTACATTTAGCTTAAACTTAAATGTTAATTAATACGTTAATTAACAACATGTACTAACAAGTAATTAAGGTAGTCGTTATTTTCACTCATGTGACTCAAGTTGTAGCTAAAGTTAACTCATGATTAGTGCATACCTTAACTCATCATTGATTCATAATAAAGTAATGTTCAGTTTACATATTAATACATCATTATTCGTGTACTGTTATTGTAAAGTGTTACCGCAGTTTTTAACAATTCTCTTGGATTGACATACACTGACTTCTCTTATAATGTATTTTCCCCCCTTCTCCCTCAGGAGCTCATCTAAACCCAGCTGTGTCTCTGAGTTTCTGTGTATTGGGAGACCTGGCCTGGATAAAGCTGCTACCATATTCTCTCGCTCAAATTTTAGGGGCTTACCTTGCTTCAGGGCTTGTCTATCTCATCTACCATGGTAAGAAGATTGAGAGAAATAAAGATATCCTCTATTTAAAATGAGATCTATACTAAATGGTTTATAATAAAATAGAATGACAATTCTGTCATTTAGGCCTACTGTAACTGCAAATCAATTAAAAACTCATTTAGCAACACATAGTTGAACCAAATGTGACCCTGGACCACAAAACTAAAAGACCTAAGTGTCAAACACTTAGAGATCACATGAAAGCTGAATTATTAAGCCATCATATCTTTCTAATTCTAATAAAGCTCATTCAGTCAGCTGTTTCTCTTCAAGTTATCAAGTTTTGAAACATCATTTTTTGTATGAACACACTTCCAGGGGAGACAGAAATCTCCCAGATTTGCTAATTTTTTTATTTCTGTTCTGAAGATGAACAAAAGTATTATAGGTTTGGAATTTAAATTTTAGGCAAAACTAATTAAGCCTTTAAGAATTTTGCCATAATTCACTCCCTCTCAACTTGTTCCAGGTGCTTTCTTCTGTTTACTTTAAAGGCACAATATGTAATACTTCTCAAAAGACTTATGCACTTACAATATCCTAAATGTCTCAAAAAATGTATCCCAAATCCAGAGTAAAAATTATTTTTAATTAGCAACACAGATCACATGATGTGATGTCAAATGATGTCACACACCCTAAATTTCTGGTTTGATTTTTGCAACAACGTTGATGAGTCCTTGGCCATCGAGAATAAGCAGGCGGAGAGCTGACACGCTTTAAATAGTTTTAATAATGCAAATAAACAAAACAAACAGGTGGCAGATCCTCACTGTGACTACAGCCAAACTGAAAGCAAAACAAACATGAGTCTTCTCTCTTGTCTTCCACTGCTGGATCTCCTCCTTTTAAAATCAAGGGCTCCCCCTTGAGACTCGTGACAGTTGGTGCACACAGTTGACGGTTGTTAACACTCCACCGGCCTCGGATGCTCTCACAACTTTCAACCCTGCCCTGCCTACTTTCTACAGCAATGGTCTCAAACTCAATTCCTGGATGGCCACAGCTCTGCACAGTTTAACTCCATTCACTTCCAACTCACTAGTCTATAGTAGTCTTGAACACCTTGATTAGTTGGATCAGCTGTGTTTGATTAGAATTGAAGCAAATCTGTGCAGAGCCGAGGCACATCAGGAATCGAGTCTGAGACCTACAGTATGTTTTACAGTTTTATAGAATACAAATAGGTTTAGGTTATGCATTCGATTAGACTGCACAGAACAGCATTATTGGAAATGTAAAATGTATTTAGTATTATTGATCTATTGCCTATGGTAGAAATGACTAGGAATGGCAGAAAATGGTCAAACTACTTGCCCTACAAACAAGTGTGTTCATGACTATACTTAAAAAACATAATCATAACCTGTAGAACCTGAAGCGGTCGACTGTGGTATAATAAAAGCTCTGCTGCTTTCCTGCCGTAGCGCTCTTATCTCATTAACTTCAGCTGTCTAGTTTCACTACGACAGCTTACAGCCTTAATCTGGTTCACACCATGATACTAAGTTTTGAATATTTTAGCTCATCTATGAAAAAGATTTCTGCATGATTCCCATAGAATGTAATGAAGACAACACCTCCCCTGATTTCACAATCAGTCACCATGAAACTACGCCTTTGTTCATTGGAAATAAGCACCCACTGGGAAAATTACATATTAAGCCTTTTAATATAACTTATATAATTCAATTCTATATTTGTCAGTTTTGAGTTATTGAAAGATGATTAAAACGATTTCTTATACCTTCTCTCCTCCAGATGCCATCATGGAATTCAGTGGTGGAGTTCTGACCGTATTTGGCCCTAATGAAACAGCCAGTATCTTCGCCACTTACCCAACTGATGTAGTATCAGTGCAGACCAATTTCCTGGATCAGGTTAGCAGAAGGCCACAGTAGATTAGACAAGACCTCTGTAGTCCATGCAGGCACAATAGAATGATGTAATATTTCTGATATAATAAATTTGGTTAATGTAATCAGATCTAATATATGCTGCTGGAGAGATATAAGTTATGCATGACCTAAGAATTAGCAATTAGACTTTCTAACAGTAATCAGTTATTAACAATAAAGGTTATCGGATTAGACTGTAATTTTCTTTTATATACCTGTGTGCAGGTGGTTGGCACAGCCATGCTGATGCTGTGCATTTTGCCTTTGAATGATAAGAGAAACGCCCCAGCTCCTGAAGCGCTGCTCCCGCCCATTGTAGCAACTGTTGTTCTTGGGATTTCCATCTCAATGTCGGCTAATTGTGGAGCAGCCATAAATCCAGCACGTGATCTTGGTCCACGACTCTTCACCTTTACAGCAGGCTGGGGCACTGAAGTCTTTACGTATGTAATCAAATCTGTCTACATCTATTACTACATCTACTAACATCTGTTTAAGGACTGTGTTATCTCTATGTGGCCTTTCAACTTATCGCTCCTCTTATAAAACTAATTACTGGTTATTGGCAAGCTCCAGTGTTCTATTAAATGATCTCAATGTTCCATTTTTATTACATCAGTGTAACATTAATGGGACATGTAAATGTTCTATTGGTATTTGCCAATGTGTGAAGTCTAACCAGTGCTTGAATTCTTTCACCATAGTCATTTAAAATCTTTTCTTCATTACAGGTGCTATGACTACTTCTTTTGGATCCCATTGGTGGCTCCTATGGTAGGGGGTGTCCTGGGCTCCATCATTTATTTGGTTTTCATCCAGTGGCATCTGCCTGAGCTTGAAGATGAATCTGAATCTGGGGAGATGAATGATCAAACAAAAGTCATGGAGCACAACAACAAAAAAGATGAGATATACCTTAAAATGTCTTCAATTTAAAAAGTCTGGAAAATGTTTAATTTTCCTAACACATTTCCAGATTTATTTCCCCGCGTTTACCCATTATTCCTGGACTGCTTTATACTGTAAATGTAGAAAATAGGGAAAGGCCACAACATAAAAAATGGGGAAATGTACTCAAGATGGACTTTAAAAGCTTTTACAGCAGATGGAAAAACTTTACACATTATTTATTACCATTTCTGTCTCTTTCTTTCCCTTTTAAGACTGGGACTTTATTTTATATTTAAAAAAACCTTCACATTGTCCACTATTTCTCAACTGTGAATATATTTTTTTGTATATAGTATGTACAGTATTTTAGCTATTTTTAATGTGACTCTTACTGTACTGGTGGTAGCCAGACATTTAGTTCTTACCCACACACACATACACAATTTAGATCCCCGTTTATTATAATATTAGAAAGATTTAATATCACCACAATAAATGCTCATATTTGTTTGTTGTCTCTCTCACGTGTAAGTGAAGCAATATTTTGTACATTTGCTGATGTCATGCAGTGAACATTAACTAATTTGCAAACAAAAAGCTTTTTAAAAAATGGCCACACGTGTTTGAAGTCTCTGCTAAGCAACTATTTACAGTATCGAACTTTTGGGAACAGGCGTATCGATTATACATACTTAGAAGGAAAGCTTATTGGCATTTCATGGAATATCCCCCATCCAGAGAAATTATTTCACAATGGATTAAATAAAAGTTCTAGTTATACAGTATGTTAAAAAATAGCTGTAGTATGAATAGCTGTTGTGGGAATAGAACAACAATTGCAAATAATATCTTGGTTGCATTTTGCTTGAACCTTTGCTGATATTTAATAAAACAATATATTGGTAAACTAATAAATATGCAAAATTAAATCATCTTTTTATGTAGGCTAATGGACTAAATATACAACAATGAATACATAACTGCATGTATATTGCTATAGAAATTAAAACGTTCTACTGGTCTACGGACAACAAAACAAATTTTGGTTTAATGTCAGTAATGACAATTTATATATAGATTCAGAAACAAAGACCTTCCCAGTTTCTCTGAATATGTTTGATGGCCTATGGGTTTGAGTAAAATGTTCATATTTATTTAATTCTGTAAATCTATGACAACATTTCTTCCAAATTTATAAGCAAAATGTTGTCATTCAGAGCACTTTTGTTAAAAAATTAATGCAACATATGCATTAATTTGTTGTGATTCATAAAGAAAATGATTTCTTGATTCGTCTGAAGTTAAAACAACTTTGTTAAGGTTAAAACACTGACATTGTGCTATTAACATTCTTGTAATAATAATAGGTGTGAGCCAGTATAGCTAAAACTCACAGTCATGCACACACAGTCATTCTCTGAACTGATTCCAACAAGTAGACCTGAAAACAAGACTACAAAGTACTATCATGCAATAGTTCGAGACTAATATCGATAACAGCTATTATACATTTTATCCTATCTGTAGTTTCTTCACTTTTTTATTAACATGAGAAACAGAGACTACACTGAAAACATTAATTTGTGCTAATATTGTGTGATATGAATACAAATTATACATATTCATTATACATCTAGTAACACAAATGACACAAGGGATAAGAAAAAAAAAACAATACATGAAAGAAAAACAAATATTTCAAGAAAACAAAATAAAAAATATATAAAGATATATCAAAGGAAATACCACAAATATCTCAAACTATACTTCGATTATTAGGAATGCTACATATGCGTACTAAATGGGATCTGATAACTTAAAGGCAATGATTGTAATGTAAATATAATTTTTTTTAGTAGTTCAGTTGTTTAACGGCTTTCTTATTTTGCGATAGGCAGACAGACTCATAATAAAGTTTCAAGTAAAAAACAAAATGTTCTAAAATTAGGCAAATACTGAATAACTACATTTGTGAAGATGGAAAAGGCCACAAAGAGTTACAGTGTTTAACATTTGTCCATTTCCTTACAGTCCGACTCCCTAATCAAAAACAAAAAATGTATTGTCTTAAAATCTTTTTTTTTTTTTTGTAAGCTGAGAAGACAAGTCAAGATATTTCTGTCCAAATTTTTTCTACAAAATTGCATTCTAAAAATAAATATGCAACTGTTTCCAGGTTAGAATTATACAATGTTCATTGCGAATAATTGTTTATACTAAATTTAGACAGTAAAAAAACTACAGGTATAGTAATTATGAAGGATTTTAAAATAAAGTTCTTTCATCTTATTTTGCTCTAAAAAAATTATTGATCCAGGCCAAATTTTAATTATATGTAGTTTGTAATCCTCCACCAAATGAATCCATAATGTGACCAGCAGAAGGCGCCAACGACAAACCAAAACAATGAGCACATGGTAAACGTCATTACAATACTGCCCTCATGCTGCACTGTGAACAAAGTTACGGATTCACTTAAAATACGATAACCTATTTATATTAGAAAATATTATCTAAATATTATCTAAAACCCACATTAAATATGACTACAACACATATAAGATGTGAGTCACCAGCAAAAACAATTTAAGCATAGAATGTTTCCGCATTCAACACACCATCTGAAACAGTACACTTGAGCAGACTGAAAGTGTAAAAGAGCTGATGCAGATGCAAACACCGCCCTCCACCTCCACACCCGCCTCCTGCATCCTATTATTACTATGAGCTGCTGCTGGCATGTCGAGTCCGATACACTTTCACCTTTCAAGGGTGTTTTGATCTTAAAGCGTCGCATGTTTCCGATAAATAACCCATGTTGCCTTAAACCCAACCGGATAACCGTAGAGAAGGAAGAAGCTTTTACAGATAACGGAGATGTCTGAAATCAACACTGCTTACTGGAGGAGCTGATAAAGGTAACGGTGGTCCTTCTTATCCGCTCACAGTGAAAGCTTAACATCAGTTTAAGTCAATAACAAACTGCATGAGAAAAGATCTGAGCTATAGCTTATTATTAGCATCCTCTTCTTTTAAGAACAGAAACTCACAGCACATTAAAACATCCTTTCCAACACTGTTGTCTAAAAATTTCGTATGTTGCTTACAATAACAGTATGACTAATAAATATGCGATAAACGGAATAGTTTATTCCAACCATTTTATGGTGAATGTCGAAGATCAGTTTTGACAATTATTTGTCCTCACATGTGGTCGCGTCTCAACTCCAGAGAATATTTTTCTACTGCGCATGTCTCAGTCTCCTGTTACTTGACAGCTATATTTGACAGCTCATGAACGATATGGTAATCCTTAAAAAGTACTTTAAACAGGCATTTGTACAGTATATCTTTTTAAAATTTAAAGACCATGAAAACAAATAGGCTATTGTATTCTTCTTAAACATTTGAATTCGCATTATTTTTCCTGCTCATTACTTTAAGCATACCTGTATTTATTTTCAATTTAATCGAATATTTGATAATTTCATTTGTATTTATTTGCTTGTTTTAGTGACTTTTTTTTCTTTAATCAATTTATTTCCTCGTTTAATTTAATTTATATTAGACCATTTTTAACTATATTATTGTGTCTGCTATGTCAGTGTCTGTTTATTGTAATCAACCTTTTAAAATGATGATTTTATTTGTTGTTATCTTGTGTTTCCTGTGGGTCAGTTTGAAAACCCCTATCAGGTTTACATAAATCGCAAATTGCTTATATCGAGCAAACACAGACTATTCTGCTGGTCTTTTCAATTGGTTTCCAATTGGTTTATTTTAGGGGAATCAAAAATATGGTTCTCTGCGTGTTTTCCCTCCCAAAACATTACAGGATGGATTTTTGGAGCTTCTTAAAAATAACCTAAAACAACAACAACAACAAAACATGAATATAATGATAGTTAAATAAAGAAAACTTTCCTGGTTTACCAGCAGCGTAAAACATTTTGGGAACCAGAAATTAACACAAGAATGATTTGGGAACCGAACAATGTTAGCTGATTAATGCTTACATCTTTTTTTTAAAATAAAAAATAGCTTAAGAGTTTTATGATTTATGTGTCATGTTATGATTAACAGCCCTCTTGAAGTACCTTAACAGATTGCTAAATAAAATCCCTGAATTAAAAACCCTAAATGGTTTATTATTTTTTAAATACGGTATGTCTCTTTAGAATTGTGGGTTCAGAAAAAGTATTTGCAAGTGACTTATAAACTTAATTGAACCGTGGATTTAAGCTAGTTCTTGAAATTCCTTTGAGAGTAAAATTCTGACTAACAGCCAAGTAATGTGCTTTGCTGTGCTTAGAGAACCAACAATGTAATAATTCCCAAAGGAAGGAAAGCATATCACCAGCAGGAGTATGACTAACTGTAATTTATACACTGTAATAAATGATTAATATGTGAGCATAATTGCATTCCACATTTTAAAAACCACATATCTGTATGTGTAAATATAAACAGAGCGAGTGATAAAGCAGACTCTTAATTTTCAATGGTAAATTCCATTATTGTGGTTCTGGTTAGACAATGACTTCCTCTTTGATGGATAAAGAAACAGATGGCAGGCAAATGAGGCTGGAATATTTGGAAAATAAAGTAGATTAAGATGTACAGTTGAAAATACATGTGCATGGTGAAGTAAAATATGCTGCACAAATGCTTATCATCAATTAGAAATCACACAACTGAAAAACTCTTCAAGCTTGAATGATTATAAATAAGAGTGTTTCATTTTCTATCAAATCTCTTTTTATTCAGTCTGGTGTGTATTGTAGCAGACTGTGTTTGCATTATGCATGTCACATATGTGAGAGAATCTGTGCTGCACGATGGTTACTATGCTGAGTAAAATGACCTGCTTCACACCACTGCAGTCTGTTGTCAGTGTAAAGATGTGAACTTCTAACTGTTTTTATGCAACATGGCTTCCAGATCTGGGCTATTTAGTGTCAAAAAGTAGGCTGTTAACTGGATCTGTCCTTAAGTAGCTTTGTGTGTGTCCTTGCCTTTTTATGCATGTTTGTGTCTGTTGGTTGTGGGTCATTGGCTTTGACCCGCTGGTCTAGAAGCCTCCAGTCATATAAATGGTAGTAGACTCTAATCATGGCTGACACACATGTACTGACCAGCTTGTCTGTCTCTGTTTGTGTGTGTATGTACCTTGTATTCCTAACATTTTAGGGACCAAATGTCCCAAAAAATTATAGCAAAAAATTCATTATAGCAATAAATCACACAGAATTAGGGCAAGTCCCCATAACAATAGCTATACAAGTGTTTGTTTGCATTGGCAAAATATTCCATCTAGCTTGTTTTAAATTTTAGAGCACTTTATAAACATGTTCTAAAAATGGGGGGGGGGGGGGGGGGGGGGGGATTAATAGTTTTTGATACAATATTTATTCATGTGGATAAGTGAAAATGACTAATAGTGCCAGGCCAGTTGCTGGAGATGTTATTTGGTAAAGCAACACTGTGAGTCTGTGCATTTACGGTCCTGT